TATATAAATCTATTTAGGTGACTCATTTGTATTGAAGTTGAAGACATCAAATCAGAAATAAAGCTTTACTTTCATTCTAACTTTCACTGATTTTGAGTCCTAAAGGCTGAAGCTGTGAGCTAAGCAAACAGAGCACACCAGGACTTCATGAAAAATAATTCAGTACCCATGGACTGTAGGGAAAAAATATACACATAATTCTTATTAGTTGACTCTCTTCAAATATTTAACCACAGCTGCTAGTATTTCTTCATAATGTAAAACACTCCGTTTGTAATTTAAAAAGAGAAACATATTTTTCACTGTTTTTTAAAACAAGACAAATTGCAATATATCTCACTGGTCAGTAAAATTAGGGTCTAAGTAAGTACCTTAAAGCATATGTATCAGAAGCACAGCAGCAAATGTGGTTGGATGATGTTTATTACTGGCAGCTCTTTGCCTGGGAGCAGGAGGTGGACTCGCTCCATCCCTTCCCAGCACGGCAGTTGAGGGGAATGGGGTGAGTTGCCAGCTCACCTAATAAGACATCTCTGTCAGAGGATGCTTGGAGACTTTTCTCTCCAGAATTCTCTTGCATACTCGGGGAAAAGTGTGGCTGCAGATTAGGGGACAAAAGCAATGAAAAGAACAAAAAGTGCTGCACATGGCTCTGCCTGCATTGCCGGGCATTTAGAGGGAACGTGAATTACATGACTTGATTTACTTTACAAAAACTGATTAGTAAAACCCCCTGTGGATTTCTTAACTATACTGTGGAGGGATATAAGATTAGTGTAGCAATTCCCATCATCAAACGTATTTACTGTTAAAATATTGGATTAGCGATGTTGTTATCCACTGTTCCAAGATTATAAAGTGATTCTTTAAAATTGAGCAGAAAAATACTGCACTCTATCATTTGTAATTAGATTTCAGTCTGAGTGGTTTTGCCTTTCCAGAAAGAGTAATTCTGCTAAAAAAAATAAAAATAAAAAGGGCTGTGTTCTGCACACAAATAAAGAGAAAATAAAACTATAGATTCAGAAGAGGAAACAAATTATTTTCAAAGAAATTATTTTTCTCTCCTACTTTTGAGAGACAAATGGTTGCACTTGGTCTGTGTCTTATTGCTCCTGCTGGTCAGTCTCAGTTCTGTGGCGATGCCCCACTGTTACACCAGGGGGTAATAGAGCCTTGTTGGTGTGAGATGTGGCTCATTGTAACACACACAGGAATGTGCACTACCTGTGCCTGACAAATCTTAGTCCTTGGATATTTAACCCTCCCAGAGAACTTTGAGGAGAGGGTCATCATTGTCTCGGTTCCCACTGACAACATGAACTGTGACGAAGGAAGAGAGTCAGGAAAGGGGATAAATTAATGTGTTCATTAAAGTAATTATGCTACATTTGGGCCAGGAAGATTAATGCAATTGTATCCTAGCTTTTTAGCCATTATCTTCAGTGACTAAAAGCACTTGGAGTTCTTACAATTAATAAACAAATAAAAAGCCACAGCACTAACACCACCTTCTCACATTTTATCCTGTTGAACACCTCTAGGAACCACTTCTGTGCAGTATTTCAGATAAACATATAATAGACAGTGATGTAGGAGTCAACCAAAAAAAGATTAAATCAGAAATACTCTGCAACTGAAGAGTGGGAGTTTTGCTGTACCTGTCATGCTGGCAAACCTCACTAGCTGCCACTACTGCACTTTTAAGCTGTACAAACTTCAGCATTGTTCTTTTTTTTTTTTACTATGGTAACTCCCTATCCTCTCTTCCTAAATTCACCCTCCCAGTAATCACAGAATCATAGAATGGTTAAAGTTGGAAAAGACCTCTAAGATTATTGTGTCCAACCATTTACCCAGCACCACTGTGTTCAGTGGTGTGTTCAGCATGTCCCCAGATGCCACATCCACACATTTTTTGAATGCTTCCAGAGATGGTGATTCTATCATCTCCCTGAGCAGCCTATTCCACACTTTGAGGTTTTCCTGATCTCTAATCTAACACACCCCCCCGTGCACCTTTAGGCCATTTCCTCCCATCCTGTCATTTGTTACCTGAGAGAAGAGACCAAACTCCACCTCACTAATTTGCTTCTAATACAGAATCAGGGTTATCAATATTATTCCATGCCATTACCACACAAAATTCAGATTTTAAAATAGCATCAGTGACTTCAAAAATTTGGAGAATTGCAGATTACTTTGATTTGAAATTGTCCTGTTATAACTGACCATAAATACAGAGCCTATAAATACATAATCCTAACTGCAGTAGCTCTGAACAGCCTTGACAGGGTTTATCAGCTAAATGTTTAATCAGGCAAAGCAGCAAAAAACATAACCACAGGAATACATGGTATTTAGCATTTAAATAAAGCTTGTAAACCAATGACAAGTCTATTTGGGCAACTACTCCCACACATGTTCCTTATCTGCAAAGGTCTCATCCCAAATTTATCGGAACCAGTCTCTTATACTTTATTTTCCAGTCAGTAACATCAGTTTCCATTCACTGAGTCCACAGAGAAAGATGCAGAAAACTACAAGTTAAAAGGCAGGGCAATGGAAAAAGAATTCCCACACTGTCAATGTCATATTGCTCTGGGAACTTATTAAATCACAGCCAAAAACCCAAAAAACAAAACCGTAAAACCAAGAACAAAAACCTCACCACAGAAGCAGAAACAAGCCTGCCAAAGAACCACAGTTCTTTGGGTTTTGTCTAATTGAAGAGCTCAGTTTCAAAATTCCCAGCTCCCTGGCTGCTTCTAAGATCAGACCTCGAGCAGAGAAGGCAAGTGAGAGCTGTGGCAGTGTCGGCCACAGGAATCCTTCCCTCCCTCGGCACAGGAAGCACCATTTCTTGTTTCCCCAGACTGTAACCTCTGTGTGAAATTGTCCTGCTGCTAATAGGTACCAGCCTCTCACCTCCTGGCATTAGGGGCCAGATGTGGCTCTTTCTGCTTCACTGCTCGTTTGGCCCTGCACGCCCAGACTGTGCTCTGGGCTATTCCATTCTCTCTCTGCTGGTGAAACACATCCCACAGCAGCTCTCAGCACTGAACAGCTGTGAGTAGCCCAAGCAAATGTAATGATTTTTTATTGTTACTATTAAGTAGACACAAGTAGTGAGTCTCTCCCTCGTGTGGGGTGTGGGGGAATCAAAAAACTTTCATGGAAATAGCACCTTTTTGTAAATAGGAGTTGGCTTTGCTCATGGTCCATTCTAGCAGCCTTTAAATACATTTCTCCTCCTTTAGAGTTGGGAATCATTTGCTTTATGAGCACCATTTGGATCATTTACCTGTTGCTCATAAAATAGACAAAGCTTTTATCCATGCCATGAATTTTTACTCATTTTATACAAAATACCTAAGGAGGGATTTGCAGAGGCCAGAATTACATCCATGAAAGAATTAACAACTAATTTAATTTTCTGCTACAATAATGGTTCCAGCAGTTTTTGATTTTGTTGATTACATTTCTTCTCTCCACAAAATAAAAAGCATATTGGTGTTAGCTTCTTTATATGCACTTTATTAAAAAGCAGATTTTTTTTTTTCAAAAATGAATAGGAATAACAAAAACATCTCATGCGTTTTAATCTCTGTAGTCATTAAGTAAAGCGGTGGCAAATGCAGCTTTCAAAAGTGATCAGATAACAGGGTGACGGTCTGTATGCTCAGGAAGAACAACAATTCTCATCAGTGCTGGGACAGTATAAAAGGATATTTCTTTGACAAAGCTGCTGGCAACAGTCGCACAAACCACCAAGGAAACATGGTTGCACAAGCCCACCTCTGTCACCCATGTTCACGCACCAGGGCCGCAGTAAATGACAATCATGGCATCAAACTGCTTCAATGACTCCTTTCACAAGGAGAAAGCCAAAATTCTCTCCTCTATGCCAACAACCCAAAGCCCGGCCCTACCTCCATCTCCTACTTGCTCTGCAGCATGCACTGTAGGCAAGGAAACAGGAGGAGCCCATTATCCCTCCCAGTGATCCATCAGCTGTTCCACAGTGACTGCTGGAATCAGACACTTCCCTCAACAGTTTGTTCCTGCACATGAAGAGTTACTGCCTCTTGGTGAGTGTGGACCACAGCAAGCTCCTGCAGTCCTGCACATAAACAGCATTGACTGCAGACACAGATCGATGAGGCTTAACTGCTGTGATTAGCATCTGCCTGGAGAGAGGCTGTGCAGCTTTGGCCATGCAGGTGCTGGGAACAGCCAGGGCACACACTGCACCTGGGAGCCTTTTAGTTAGGAAGGAGGGAAGATCCTGGGTTTTGGAGAGGCAACAGCTGAGGGATTTCCCTACAACACAAGGCCTGTATGTTTATAGGTAACCATCTTTCTGCATGCAGAGATACACAAACATAAATACCACCCATCTGTGACTACAGTGGAGAATTGACCATTTAAGAGCTTCTATATTTTAATCAGCTGTACAGATTGCCCCATGAAAGCCTGCACAGTCAGCATTACCCCTAATTTAAAAAAAAAAAAAAATGCACCAAGCATGAACAAAGGTAGCTGGAACAGAGGTGTTGGTTTTTTCCATTTCTCCTTCTAAATTCCTACGATGTATTTGCCACAACCTTTGGGAGTAACCAGGCCTCTAGAACTAGCCTAACTTCTAGGATTTCAAAATAAACTTCCACCACTTCATTTCTCCACCAGATGTTCACAGTTTATTGGTGCACCAATAACACTACTAAAGTAGTTTTGTGTTGTCAAGTTCTGCAAAAATTTTTAAGCATATATGAAACACAAGCTGAAGGCAAGATAATGCTGGCATTTCTCCCTTAATGCTCAGCTAAAAGAGCACTACTAATAATCTGGGCAGCCAAACACCCAAACAAACCATTTCAACATGAGATGCTAAGAACCAGAGCAACCTGTTGCAAGATTCCTTTGCAGATTATTCCATGAAGACTGAGAGAAACCACCATTACAGAAAACAAGTTATCAGAAAAGTTGTTCCAGCCTACCTGTGGCTGAGTCCAAGGCTCCAAGGTTGTTTCTTTCAAAGGAGTCTGTGGCCTTCCCACTTCTTTTGTGTGCTTTTAGGAGAGAAAAGCATATGTCAGTTGTGTGTTCAGTCAGCATTCAGCATTAATTATCCTTGAGGAAACAAAACAGGTACAAAATCCATACAGTAACATATCATGACTGCATACATTTGGAGTAGGCTGTAGGTCTCTTTTTTTTTTTCCAGAAAAGTAACTTTATAGAGTTGCTTTAGTTTTCAAGGTAGAGGGTACACACCTTGCTCTCTGTGTACAGATAAAAATTCAGGCAAAAATATGAAATTATTTGCCAACAGAGTAAGGTTCCACAGCAGAAATTCAGAGGGAGCTTGACTCTGGTTTCTCTGTCATTTCCTTCCCAGGCTGTGCTCTGTTCAATGGACACCCTGCAGTGTAACTGACTGAAATAGGTTCATCACTTGGATGGGGGGCCATGTTTTCAGATAACAGCCCTTGCCTTTCCTTAAAGTTCTTAGAGCTGGAGCCAGAAGAGAGTTACCAACCTCCTGTCTCCTTGACTTTCCTTGGAATATTCAAGAACGACCACCCCAAATCTAAAGTCTATGTAATCAAAGAGATTAAACTAGTCATCAAAGAAGACTTACTGTCTCTTCATACTTCCTTTTTTTAATAGTACCAAAACACCCTGCAATTACTCATTACCATCTGTAATTTTTCTGCTTCAATAATAAACGTGTAAGAATTTTGAGCACTGGGAGTGAGCATTGAATAGGATGCTGGCTTCTTCTAATTTTCTCCATATGAATTTCCCAGGGAAGATACTTTGCACATTGTTTTAAAAAATACAAGTCTCATATTTTCTTTCTCTCTAATTTTTTTCTGTCATAAAACAGAAATAGTGGTGTTCAAAAAAAAAAAAAATCCTCTGCTGAAATACACTTTTTAAGTAGTGCCAGGATTTTTCCTTCTGCTGAAATACAACATTTCTAATGTACTACTCTTTGAACATGGCCTTTGACAATATGTAATACAAATATCATCTTATCCAGGTCTCACATCAGAGCAATCTGAATGCCCATGCAAGGACTGACAAAGAGAGGGAGAGATATGCCATTGGAATTTCTGTCATCAGCAAACCACGGCCACTTAAAATGAAACACTTTTTTAAATACAGATTTTGTAGGCAACTTCACTTAGCATTCGCAGGACTTCTTTCAAAAAACCACCTTATTAAATGGCAATTGTGTTTTGGCAGGTTGGATTGCCTGTAATAATAGATTACAGGCAATCATTTTTACCATTTTTTTGTTATTTTATATTTTGAGGTAGCAATGGGACATGATTCATTCTTGAAATAGAACAATAAGTGCATTCCAAAAGAAAAAAGAAATAACCATAGATTTAGTGAATGCTAAACAGAGTTAAAATGAATGCATCTGGAAAGGGAAGGTTGTGTTTTTCATGTGTTCAAAAGCAAATGTATTCTACCTTATAATCTTGCTTTAAATGTAATCATCAAGCATCAAAGGGACCCAAACACATAATGAAAATTATTAAACATATCAGTTGTAGTGCCAAGATACCATAACAATTCCTCATGGGGTAACCTGCCAGGAACTGACATTAAAAAATCACACTCTTTCTTGAGAAATCATTTTTCTTGGAAATTCACATTGGTTTTTATACATTTGTCCAGTTCTGTATTGCAGCAGAAAGAAAAAAGAATAATCAAACGTATGAATACATAAAGAAAATGTATGCAAAATGTTTACAAAAGTTAATTTAGGTGAAACAATTCTTAAAGTGTTTGAGTAACACTGGAACTCATGCTCTAAGTCTTAGATACGACTTAAAGAAGACTCAAAGTACTCAGTGCTGAATTTCCTATTGACCAGCACCATTTACTTCCTTACTGCTGCCCCTACACACCACCCAAGGAGATCCTTTCACCTCACTCTAAAACCAAGCATCACAAAGTAGGACAAGACACAGAAAGAGTGAAAATAGTGCAGCAACCTGCACCCCAAAGCACGGGAAAGGACAAATCCAAGCACTAACTGCCTTCAACCCCTACAGACTTTCTCCCCATAGGAAACATCTTTCTAGCTCTCATTCCAACTTCCCAATTATGTTTCAGAGCTATTTCTAGGAACTAAAGCCCCTGCACCACCCAGGTGTAGTTTGTCACAGAGAACCTTGAAGCATATTTGCATTCTCGCTTTTCATGGTAGAAAAGCACGTTCCACACGAGGTGTGAGCACAGCCAGGACAGCTGACACTGACCCACTGCTCAGACTGCTGACAGAGGCACGGCTGCTGCAGCTTCTGAGTGTGAGCACCTCTTCTGAACTACCTGCTACTACAAGCAGTGGTACTTCCAGTGTAAAGCTCTTTACTCACCCCTCACTGAGATACACACACATTGCTAATGGACCACATAAGCAGCACTTATCCACAAGTTCTCTTTTCTCTTTTATAAAGAGTAATGTGATAAAGAGAGACAATTCTCCCGGGAGCTTCTTTCTTCCAGCACAGATAAAGAACCTCTTACTAAAACTGGGAAGTTTTTGGAAGCCTTTATCTGCCCATTTTGCTTGGAGCATCTTCCTACAGCCTTCTGCAGCTCCTACAATCCTTCTGAGGAAACAATAGACTGTGCCCACAGTCTTTTGTTTATGTTCCCTCCACTTCCTCAGCTTGGCATTTAGGTTTCACACATAGAAGAAAATCGTGCTCATAATGAGATAAAGATGGAACGATTTCAGCCTGGATATTACATGATGGTTTCAGCAGTGCCATTAGAGCTCCCTTAGCTCTTGTACACGCACCAATTACAATTTCTCTAGCAGGCAGGCTTGACTTCTGGAATAAATTAGGTCCTTTTCATGTCTGATGAACCACCTGTCACTTTGTTACAGCCAGCCACCCTTCCACGAGCACAGGGCATATCTGGACAACTGATTCAGTTCCTGCCACTCATCCAACACCTTCCCAGATCTGCCCCCCGCCGGAGCTGAGGGAGACACACTTTGCTCTAAATCATTACCTGCCACCCTGTATCACTGCCGTGCTGCTGGCACTGAGGAAGGCAAAGAGACAGGAAACCACACAGGATCTTGCAGGTTGCAAAGGTTTCCTTTATCTCGGTGTTCCCTTTTGCCCAGCGGGAAATGCAATAATTTCAACTGTCCCCCGAGGCCAGGCAATCCTGTCTATCCACAGAAAGTCCAATCTTCAGGTATTTTCAATATAAAAGAAGTTTTGGTTTGCTGAGTCATCATACAGCCAAGTCTCATCAGTCTTGCACCTGACCACCCAGAAATTACCCTGATCAATGATGTTAGCAATCAATAAAGTCCAGACTAATAGCCAGGTAGTAAAAAGACTGTGCACAAAATATTTTGCTGATACTTGGAATTTTCTGTCTAATTATAGCAGCAAAAGAAATATTTAATATTTAATCAAAGTAGTTATTAAATATGTTTTAAGAGAAAAATGAAATTCATCATGAGAATTTTCTGTTGTTTATTGGAAGAAATAAGTTACCAAACATACAATTACTTATGACAACTTGACAGGTAATATCCAGGCTTCCAAAATCTACCAGAGAAAATAAACTGTAAAATAGATTTTAAAGGTTATGCAAGTCACTGTTTCGAGCCAGACTTCATTTTGGTCTTTAAGATGCTGCAGAGTGGTCCTCACTCTGAAACATGAAGGGAAATCTTTGGTGCCTCTGGGACAGTTCAAACTGATCTTACAAGTGCTTGGTCACAGATGTCCCTTCTGATGGAATCCTGCCCCACTCAGCTCCTGGTGTCTGCCCAGTTTTGGATGATCCACTGTTTAGTCTCTCAGCCTGTTTTCTCCATTAGACTGAATTCCATTCTCTCCCTGACCAGGTCTAGCTCCCCCTGCCTGGGATCCTGCCCTGCCAGCCCCTGTGTGGGTTGGGAAGGGTGGTGAGGAAGAGGGAAGGCTGTTCTATCCCCTCACTTCCTACAGCCCCAACTCCTGAGCTGCCAGCAGCCCATCTACCACAACACACATACTCTAAAATTGTTGTAAAGTCCTTCCCTTTTAGCAGGAGAGAAGTTAAATCACCTTTAATTGTTTTGCCCCAGCCTCCAGGAACAGGAATCATGAAAACTTCTAGTAACTTGACCCATAGATATAATTAACTTTTCAATAACTGTCATTTTCCATGCTGCAAAGGGAATTTGTTCTGGACCTTAAAGTTTTTATTCTAATACTAACTACTGGATCTGTTCAGCTAGATATCACCTCCATTCCCTCCTGCTTTTTTATTGGCAAGTTTTTGTTTTTCTTCAAAGAAATCTGGATTTGTTATGGTTAGAAAGGAAGGAAAAAAAAAGAATGTTACAACACGACAATTTTGGTTTACCTATTTTGATTTCTGAAAAAGCCTTAAAATTATCTAGACAGATACTACCACCAGTAATTCTAATGGTTATTGATTGCTGTGAGAAGCAAAAGCAGATTGAAATTTCAAGATAATACAAAGCATTTTCCTCTGGTGCCTTACAAAATTGCTACAGCAGCATTAGGATTATCTGATTCCAAGTGTTCTACTCTGCACTTTAGAGGGGAAAAAGTGTTCTATTTAGTTGTCTTTCATGCTGAAAACCTATATGGCTTGAAGTGAAATTTAGGAAACAAACAGCAAAAGACATTTAGTAAATAATATATTATCTATGTTGCATTGTCAGTTGGGATTGCAAATATCTATTTAGGGCAACTTCTGTCTGTCTGCCAAAAGCTACATTTTTAGACAGGAACTGCAGACTTTACTATTTTTCTGTCCCCCATTATAATCAGGAAATCATGTTTAGCGATTTTACTGTCCAGGCAGAATGTCTTTATTATCACACTGAGACAGAGGTATGCTGTAAGTCTGAGAAGGAGATTATCTCCATTAACAATGCCTCCTTCTTGCCTCTAAGTTGATTTCAGGTAATTGGATTCCTGAAGTCCTCTGCTTCAGCCTCCTAACATCTTTCATGTGAAAGGTGAACAGAAGGGTTAATTTCAGTGATAAGTTTGTTTAACAG